ACAAAAACCATAAAAGAGTAGCATATTTAAATGACATATTTGATCATATTAACTTGACAAATATATATAAATAGATAGAACATTCCATCCAAAACAAACAGGATACAGATTCTTCTCAAGTGCACATGGAACATTCTCCAGAATAGATTATATGTTAGGCCACAAAACAAGTTTTAACAGATTTAGGATTAGATTAAAATCATATTAACTATCTTTTCTGACCACAATATTATGAAAGTAGAAATCAATTACAAGAAGAAAACTGGAAAATTTACAAATATGTGGAGATTATACAACATGCTACTGAACAACCAATGGATCAAGAAAGAAATCAAAACCCAAATTAAAATAGTACCTAGAGACAAAAGAAAATGGATATATCACATACTGAAATTTATGGGATGCAGTGAAAGCTATTTCACAAGGAAAGTTCATAGTAATAAATGCCTACTTTACAAATAAGAAAAGTCTCAAACCAGTAACAAATTTATACTCCAAGGAACTAGAAAAAGAAGAACAAAGTCCAAGTTTAGTAGAAGAAAGGAAATCATAAAGAATTACAGCAGAAATAAGTGAAATGGAGGCTAACAAGATGTCAAACAAATAAAAAAAAAATCAATAAAACCAAGAAGTGGCTCTTTGAAAAGATAAACAAAACTGACAATTAGCTAGACTCACAAAGAAAAAAGATAGAAGGCTCAAATAAATAAAAGAAGAAATATGACATCTGATATCACAGAGATACAAGGATCAGAAGTGACTAGTATGACAATTATACAGCAATAGTATTAACAATTAAGAATAAATTAATCAATAACTACAACATACAATCTTCTAAGACTGAATCATGAGGAAACAAAAATTGAACATACTCATTACTACTATTAAGGATACTGAATCTGTAATTTTAAAACTCCTTATGAACAAAAGTACAGGACCAGGACACTTCCCGCTGAGTTCCACCAAATATTCACAGAAGAATTAATACCAATTCTTCTGAAACTCTTTCAAACAATAGAACAGAAGGCAATATTTCCAAACTCATTTTACAATACCAGCATTATTCAGATACTAAAACCAAAGACACTACAATAAAAGAAAATTACAAATATCCCTGATAACAAAGATGCAAAAATAACAAAATTTAGCAAACTGATTTTAACAATCTATTAAAAGAATCATACAACATGAGCAAGAGGAATTTCTACCAGGGGTGCAGAAATGATTCAATATCTAGAAATTAGTCAATGAGGTATACCACATTAACAAAATGAATAGTTTGGAAGATCATCTCAGTGTAAAAAGAAAAACTGAAAGCATTTCACAAAATTCAACATTTATGATGAAAGCTCTCAACTAAGTGGGTACAGAGGGAAAGAAAATACTCAACATAAAACTGGCCATGTATGATAAACCCATAGATAACATTCCACTCAAAAGTGAAAAGCTGAAAGCAATTTCTCTAAGATCAGGAATAAGAAAAGGATGCCCATTCTTGCTGCTTTTATCCAACATATTAATGGAATTCCTAGACAGAGCAATTTGGCAAAAAACAAACAAAAGGTGTCTCCATTGGAAAAGAGGAAATAAATCTGTCACCATATTCAGATGGCATGATAGAGAAAACCCTAAAGACTACCCCAAAACTGTTAGAGTAAATAAAGTTGCAGGATATACAACTGATGAATAGCAATCTATTGTATTTTTACAGAGTAAAAATGAACTATCTAAAAGAGAAGTCAAGAAAACAATCCTATTTGCAATTGCATCAAAAAGAATAAAATACCTAGGAATAAATTTAACCAAGGAAGTGAAAGACTTATACACCAAAAACTATATGATACTGATGGAAGAAGACATAAATAAGTGGGAAGATAGTCTATGCTCATGGATTGGAAGAATTAACACTGTTAAAATGCCCATACTATACAAAACAATCTATAGAATCCAAGCAATCTATCAAAATTCCAATGACATTTTTCACAGAAATAGAAGAAATAATTCTCAAATTTGTATGGGACCACAAAAGACCCTGAATAGTCAGAGGAATTTTGAAAAAGAATAACAAAGCTGGAGGCATCATGTGCCCAGTTTCATATTATAGTTGTCATAGTCTATGGCAATCAAATCAGTCTGAGATATGGGGAGGAAAACAAACATGGATTAACGGAACCGTGTAGAGAACCCAGAAGTAAACACACATACACACGGTCTATCAATTTATGATGAAGGAGCCTCGAATATACAACAAAGACAATCTCTCCAATAAATGGTGTTGGGAAACTGGAAAATCACATGCAAAGAATGAAACTAGACCATTTTCTTACACAATATACAAAAATTAACTTCAAATGAATTAAACACTTCAATGTAAGACATGAAACTATAAAACTTCTAAAAGAAACATAAACAATAAGCTAAACATAGGTCTTATTGAATTTGAGTGTTTGACATCAACAGCAAAAATAATTACATTAAACTAAGCTTCTGCACATCAAAGGAAACCATCAACATAATGAAATGGCACCCTACTAAATGGGAGAAAACATCTAAAAATCACTTATCTAATAAAGGGTTAATATCCAAAAATACATAAAGAACTCATACAACTCAACTGCAACACAAACAAAAAAACTGAATCAACCTGAGTAAAAAATGAACAGATGATCTGAATAGACATTCTATGAAAGAAAACATACAGGTGGCCAACAGATACAAGAAAAAATGCTCAACGCCACTAATCATCAGAGAAATATAAATCAAAACCAAAACAAGATATTACTGCACACCTGTCAGAACTGTTATTAACTAAAAAACAAGAAATAACAAGTATTAGCCAGAATGTAGATAAAAGGGAACCTTTGCACACTGTTGATGAGAATGTAAATTGGTGAAGCCATTATGGAAGAGTATGGCGATTCCTCAAAAAATCTAAAACTAGACCTACCAGATGATCCAGGCAACACCCACTTCTAGATATTTTTCCAAAATAAATGATAACACTAACTAGAGAAGAAATATGTACCCTATGTTCTCTGCAGCATTATTTATTTACATTAGTGAAGATGTGGAAACAGTCTGTACATCCATTGATGGGTGAATGGATAAAGAAAACATATATGTACATAAAGTCCCTGGTGTCTCAGACAGTAAAGAATCTGCCTGCAATGTGGGAGACCTGGGTTCAACTCCTGGGTTGGAAAGATCCCCTCAAGAGGGAATGGCAACTCACTCCAGTATTCTTGCTGGGAAAACTCCATAGACAGAGGAGCCTGGCAGGCTACAGTCCATGAGGTTGCAAAGAGTCAGACATGACTGAGCAACACACACACACACACACACACACACACACACACACACACATATACATACAGTAGAATATTATTCAGACATGAAAAATAATGAAACTTTGCCATTTGTGACAACAAGGATGGATCTTGAGAGCACTGTGCTAAGTCAAATAAGTTAGACAGGAAAAGACAAATACCATACAATCTCACTTATATGTGGAATCTAAAACAAAATGAAAACTAAGCTCATAGATACAGAGAACAGATTGGTAGTTGCCAGAGGCATGGATTTGGGGGTGGCCAAAACGGGTGAAAAAGTTGACTTAAAGCTTGACTTAAAGTCAGACTTAAAGTTGACTTAAAGTTAGAAAACTAAGATCACGGCATCTGGATTTGGGGGTGGCCAAAACGGGTGAAAAAGTTGACTTAAAGCTTGACTTAAAGTCAGACTTAAAGTTGACTTAAAGTTGACTTAAAGTCAGAAAACTAAGATCACGGCATCTGGTCCCATCACCTCATGGGAAATAGATGGGGAGACAGTGGAAATAGTGGCTGACTTTATTTTTTGGGGTTCCAAAATCACTGCAGATGGTGATTGCAGCCATGAAATTAAAAGACACTTACTCCTTGGAAGAAAAGTTATGACCAAGCAGAGACATTACTTTGCCAACAAAGGTCCGTCTGGTCAAGGCAATGGTTTTTCCAGTGGTCATGTATGGATATGAGAGTTGGACTGTGAAGAAAGCTGAGTGCTAAAGAATTGATGCTTTTGAACTGTGGTGTTCAAGAAGACTCTTGAGAGTCCCTTGGACTGCAAGGAGATCCAACCAGTCCATCGTAAAGAAGATCAGTCCTGGGTGTTCATTGGAAGCACTGATGTTGAAAGCTGAAACTCCAATACTTTGGCCACCTCATGCGAAGAGTTGACTCACTGGAAAAGACCCAGATGCTGGGAGGGATTGGGGGCAGGAGGAGAAGGGGACGACAGAGGATGAGATGGCTGGATGGCATCACCGACTCAATGGACATGAGTTTGAGTAAACTCCAGCAGTTGGTGATGGACAGGGAGGCCTGGTGTGCTACGATTCACGTGGTCGCAAAGAGGCGGACACGACTGAGCGACTGAACTGAACTGAAAATGGGTGACAGGAGTCAAAAGGTACAAACTTCTACTTTAAACAATTCCAAATGGTGTAAAGTACAGCACAGTGACCACAGTTAATAATACTGCATTGCATGGTTGAAAGTTGCTACTACAGCAAATCTTAAAAGTTCTTGTCACAAGAAAAAAATTCTGTAATTATATACGATGTTATTAACTAGACTTATTGTGGAGATTTAGTCACAGTATATACAAAATACTAACTCATTAATGTTCAATACCTGAAAATAATATGTCAGTTATATCTCAATAAAAATTTTTAAATATAAAACATAATTTTATATCTGACAAGTCTACCATATCAACTATCCTGAAGAAAAATGCAAATATTTGGATTACCAAAAACCCACAAAAATCAATACACATTTAACTTAGATTTGAATTCAAGATGTTAATGAACTGATGCATCCAAAAGGAACAATTAGAATTGTAAAAACAAAAGAAAGCATAGAAAAATTTAAAAAATAATATACAAATGAAGTTAATATATTAAAAGGATACATTTCTTACTGCACACATTACTGTTTCTATTTTGGTTATTTTCTTACCTGTGGATGTGTAATTTTATCATTTGTTTTTTGTCCACCTGGATCTCCCACTACTGCTTTTCTTGTTTCATTTTCCAATGGTATATATTTTGAATCTTCACCTTTAACTTTTAATTTACCAGTACCCATTTCTGTGGTTGTCTTGGTCTTTGCCTCACTTTTAAGTAATTCCTTTTCTTGATTTAGGAAATAGGCAAGTTGCTGCTTAGCTCTTTCAGCTTCCTGTTTTTAAAAGAGTAACTGTCAAGTATCATTTCTGTGACATTTTCCTGCCAATATTATAATTTTCAGGAATCTTCATATATTCATGTCCACACTAATTCTCAATTTTATTTTTACAGAGTAAAAGAATGCTAAATTAAACCACTGGTATAATACATAGTTTAACAGATCCATAATTAAAATTAAAAACTATGAAGGAATCTCTTCTACTTAAACAGCTATTTTTATACCCAAGAGGTTTACCTGCCCACTGTTTAAGGTTCTAGTTATAATACAGGCACAATAAAAGTTAATAAAATGCATATATTATAGGTGATAGAATGTACCCAAGATAATTAAGATCTATAATATCAAATAGTAAACATGAAAAATAATTTATTTCTTCCAGAATTAAATCTTTCTTTAAAAGTCATTTTTAATAAATTTTAGTTTCATAAAATTAAGTTACCTGTATAAAAGAATATATAAATCAATAAAAAAAGTTCACAATCTCCCCACAAACAGAAAATGTACTGTTGACATATATACTTTTTAATTATTTCTAAATATGCTAGTGCATATGTATATATGAATTTTTAATTTTTATCCAGATTGGATCATACTATACACACATGCATATATGCTCTTTTCATTAAATACTGCCACAGTATGTTCTCATTGGAGAAGGCAATGGCAACCCACTCCAGTTTTCTTGCCTGGAGAATCCCATGGACAGAGGAGCCTGGCAGGCTATAGTCCATGGGGTTGCAAGAATCAGACGTGACTTAGCGGCTAAAGAGAGAGATTCCCATGATGATAAATATGCATCCAAATTAGAACAGCTAACAGAAAGAAAGTTGCTCAGTCCTGTTTGACTCTGTGACCCCATGGACTATACAGTCTATGGAATTCTCCAGGCCGGAATACTGGAGTGGGTAGCCTTTCCCGTCTCCAGGGGATCTTCCCAACCCAGGGATTGAACCCTGGTCTCCCACAGTGCAGGCAAATTCTTTACCAGCTGAGCTACCAGGGAAGCCCTAGGTAACAAGTAAATTTTAATAATATATCTTAACTAATTTAGCAAATTGCTTATCAGTGGACATACTGGTAATTTAAAAACTTTTGCTATTAAGAATTTCCTATTCTACATACTTGTACAAACTTTGTACACCTTTTTATTATTTACAATAAATTTTTAGAAGTGGAATGGTTCACTGTAAAGACTCTGTTTTTCCAAGACTTTTGCTATATATTTTCTTCCAGAGAAGTATCAATCCATACTGACAATAGAAGTATATGAAAGACCTGCTCATCTCAACATAAGTCCACAAATATTAAATATTTCTGTTCCTTCAATTTTTTTAAAAAAAGTAGTTGGTAAAATATACCTGTACTGCTGCTATTTTAATGTTTTTTATTACTGAGTCTTAGTTGCAGCACACAGGATCCTGCCCTGTGCAGGATCTTTGAAGCATGCGGGCTCTTAGTTGCAGCCTGCAGGATCTAGTTCCCTAACCAGGGATTGAACCCAGGCCCCCTGCACTGGAAGCATGGAGGCTTAACCACTGAACCACCCTCTCGCTGTTATTTTTTAATTGCATTTACTTGGTAATTTGTACAGCTGAATATATTTGTATGTTTATTGGCAATGTGTGTTTCTCAATTGACTTGCCTATGTCCTTTGTCTATTGAGGAGGAAGACTATCCATATTTTCTGTGGATACATAAAAGACCTTGATATGGAACATTTTATAAAGATCTTCCATTTATCTTTATATCTTACAAAATTTTAACCATAAAAAGTTTTATTTTATATATTTATAACCAAATATATACACATATTCTTTTTGGTATAATGCTTAGAAAGCCCTGCTTTAGCCAAGACATGTAATTGTTACTCAGTGCTTCTTCCAATTTATACATAGTTCACTTATTATGCCTAGATCTTAAATCAATTTGTAATTTGTTTCAGTATATTAAATCAACTAGAAATCACAAGTTTTTCATAGTAGTTTACTTTTGTGACTTTTATCTGTCTATAAAAAATTTTAATAAGCAAAACATCAAAATACAAAATTATCATATTTATTTGAATCTGTTTCTGGACTTTTCATTCAGTACCAAATTTAGAACCACACTGCTTTAGTAATATATTTTTATGTCTTATATTAATTTTTGATGAGCAAATCATAATTGTTCTTCTGTAAAATAACCAGTTTCTTATCTCAATATATCTTATAATTCTGCTAAGCTCAAAAAGACTCCACCTATATCTAGAAATAAATTGCTTTAAGCGTGTATATCAGTTCTCTCTCTAGCTTACTATTTTGGAGAAAATAAACATCAAATTTTATCAATATATTTCTACTACATTAAATGAAAATACTATAAGCTGGCAAAACAATACAATATATAGATTCTTGGTTTACAAATTAAAAATTATTCATTTAAAAAGTTGTTTAAGGATATTTTCTTCAATTTTTCATAATACGAAGGAACATGACATCTTTTACCTGTAAAGCTTGTTTCAGTTGTTCCCGAAGAACTTTGTTCTCAATTTCCAGAGCATGTGCTACTTTCTAGGATGTAATATGGGGTGGGGGAGAAAAGTATTCATTTGTTTTTTTTAAACTAATTTATTGTCATAATTATTATCTTTCTAAAACCCATAGATAGCCAAGATGATGACTTGAGCACAAACATTTACTACATACTTCTTAGGCACAATGACAGATAACTTACAGCTCAGCTGGTGAACAATCTGCCTGCAATGCAGCAGACCCCGGTTCAATTCCTGGGTTGGGAAGATCTCCTGGAGAAGGGCTAGGCTACCCACTCCAGTATTCTTGGGCTTCCTTGGTGGCTCAGCTGATAAAAGAATCCGCCTGCAATGTGGGAGACCTGGGCTCAAATCCCTGGCCCTGGGATGGGAAGATCCCCTGGAGGAGGGAATGGCTACCCACTCCAGTATTCTGGCCTGGAGAATTCCACAGACTGTTTAGTCCATAGGGTCACAAAGAGTTGGACAGCAACTTTCACTGTCACTTTCCTAAGAATATAGCAGAATCCAGAGCTTCAGCAACATGACATTCCCAATGTCCAAGGTACAATTAAGAGTAATTCAAATTTGAAGAAACAGGAAAATGAGACTTACTCTTAAAAGAAAATCTACAGGAAAGGCGATTGAAGATGGGGCATAGCAAGAACCTCCTCCCATGGATCAACAAATATACACCTGCAAAGAGATTAACTCCCTGTGAAAAGAACCTTGGAACTAGTCAAGCATGCTCCACAACAAAGAATAGAAAGGACTACATCAAGACAGGTAATAGAGGAAAAGAAACACTCTCAGTAAAAACCATACCCCCAGCATGATGGCACACAACAGAGAGGGATCTCACCAGACAGGCACTCTTGACAGGGCAGCAAAGGGCTGGTGCCCATGTCAGGAACCCTGGCTCCTGGATCTACACCAGAGAGAGGAAGCCCAAGTGACCAGAAAAAAAAAAAAAAAAAAAAAAGCCTAGCCAACACCATGACTGCAGTTTGGTGAGTCCTTGAGCACAGGATACAGCTAAGCTACGGTCAGACTTCTAAGCCATTCAAACCATGAAAACAATTCAATTATTTTAAGCTGCAAAATGTGAGGTAACTTGTTATGCAGGAATAGAAAACTAACACCATAAAGTTGTTCCTTTTATATTCAGTATCTCAAGAAGTACTCTCATTATTTTCCCAAATTTATGCTATTTGATTCTTGAAACATGCAGGTATATACTTGTGGGACACTTAAGTCCAGTCACTCACTGGAAGAGAGTGACCAAATGGGTGACATGATGCTCTGATGGTTAAGAAGTTTTAACTTTCAGCAAAAGATAGTTTATCAAAGAGAAGATAAAATAAAGGGTTACTTGTATTCTTTTCAGAATACACATGGATCACATGAAAAAGAGTGAGCTATATTAACAATCTCCGAAATATTTTTCTATTCACCTCTTGCATCTCACACATTTCTGAGATAGATGGGATAGCTATTATTTTATCCATTTTAGTGATGAAAGACAAAGTTCACCCAGCAATCCCACTTCTGGGCATACACACCAAGGAAACCAGATCTGAAAGAGACACGTGCACCCCAATGTTCATCACAGCACTGTTTATAATAGGCTAATTCATTTCAATGTATGACAAAAACCACTGCAATGATGTAAAGTAATTAGCCTCCAACTAATAAAAATAAATGGAAAAAAAAAAAAAGACAAAGTTCAAGTAGGTTAAAGGGACCTGTCCAATGTCACTTAACTAGTAAGTCTGTTCTGACTCATAATATGTGTTCTTTCCTCTATGACATTGCCTATAATTGAGTGAATAACAGTAATTTTCATAACCTTGACAGTAAACATATCTGAATTCACCATTTGATTTTCTAAAACTTGCTGAAAAAAGTCAACCAACAGTAAAGAAGCATTGTAAGAAGAAATTTAGTACACATGCACATACACAAACGCACATACACCTGTATTCACATACATATGTTGTCTATATAAACAGTTATCAGAGCATTATTAATCAAATTTAGATGCACAGGGAGAGATTCTGTGTTACCTGGACTTGAGGCACATTTTCTTTTACTTTAAGCTCTTTCCCTACAGACTTCTTCCTGAAAAAGAAATATTTTTAAATATATCATAATGTTTTATGATATCTGATGACAATGCTTTCTTGATGAGTACTTAAATCATTTTAAAGAAAAGAAATTTTGAGAGGTGCACTCAAGATGATGGAGTAGGAACACTGTGAACCTAACCTCATCCCAGAGGCACATCAATTAGAACTATTTACAGAGCAACTATTGATGAGAATGACATGAAGACCAGCAGAGAAGATTTTCCACCAACAAAGATATAATGAAGTTAATTACTATAATGAGATGAACATGAAGAGCAAAGACTCAGTATAGTGAAGAACCACACTCCTGAGTAGATGACCCACAAATGGCAGCATAATCACAATTGCAGTGGTTCTCCCCCAAGGAATGAGGGGTCTGAGTTCCACATCAGGCTCCCTACCCCATGGGTGCTATACTGAGAAGACAAATCCCAAGAATATCTGGCTGTGAAGGACAATAGGGCTTGCATATTGGAGAGCAAGAGGGCTGAATCTATGTAGGAAATACAGAGCCTACTCTTACAAGGAGCATGCAAATCTCACATGCTCTTAGTCTCCAGTACAGGGGCAGTAATTTAAAAGAAACCATGGGGCTTCCTTGGTGGTTCAGTAGTTAAGAACCTGCCTTCCAATGCAGGGGACACAGGTTCAATCCCTGGTCAGAGAACTAAGACCCCATATGCCATGGGGCAACCAAGCCTGCATGTCACAACTACAGAGCCCAAGCACTACAACAAAGATCCTGCAAGTTGCAACTAAGATCCAATGCAGTCAAAAATTAAATAAATAAATATTTTTTAAAAAATTAAAAGAAGCCAAGGTTGGACCTGGTTGCTGATCTTGGAGAGCCTCCTAGAGAAGCAGGAGGCAGCTGAGACTTCCTCTGAGGACACAGAGGTGGTGGCAGCCATTTTTGTGAGCTCATTCCACCATGAGGACAAATTGCTGGCAGAACCACTTTGGAGTCTTCCCTCTAGACTATTAGTAGTTAGTCTAATATTCTAATTGGCTTATCCACTCACCAGCCAATTGACACTAATCCAAGACATCCCTGAACCCCAGCCTGGATACCCAGCCCTGTCCACCAGAAGGCCAGCAGCCACTACACAAGGCATGGTCTAGCACCCTACCTCAGGAAACAAAAAGTCTCAAATAAACAATCTCACCTTACACCTAAAGGAACTAGAAAAAGAACAAAGTCCAAAAATTAGTAGAAGGAAAGAAAAAGAGGTTGGAGCAGAAATAAATGAAATAAAGATTTAAAAAAAATTTTTGAAGATCTATAAAACTAACAGTTGGTTTTGAAAAGTTAAATAAAATTGATAAAACTTTACCCAAACTAAAAAAGAAAGAGGGGGCCCAAATAGAAAATGAAAGAGAAGTTATAAAAAAATTAAAGAAGTTACAACACACACCACAGAAATACATAAGAGATTAGCACAATTATACACAATAAAATGGACAACTTAGGAAAAAATGGACAAATTCCTAGAAACAATTTCCCAAGACTAAATCAGGAAGAAATAGAAAATACAAACAGCATGATTACCAGAAATGAAATTGAATCAGTAATCAAAAAACTCCCAATGAACGAAAGTCCACAATCAAATCACTTCATAGGTTTTACCAAACATTTAAGAAACAATTAACACTTAGCCTTCCCAAACTATTCAAAAATTTAAAGAGAAAGGAACACTCTGAACTCATTATATGAGGCCAGCAAAACCCTGATATTAAAACTAGACAGATACTACCAAAAAGGAAAGTTACAGATCAACATCACTGATAAACATAGATACAAAAATCTTCAACAAATATTAGCAAACCAAATTCAACAATACACTAAAAGGATTATAGGACTCCCCTGGTGGCCCAGTAGTTGACAGTCTGCCTGCCAGTGCAGGTGACATGGGTCTGATCCCTACTCCGGGAAGATCCCATATGTGTGCAGCTACTAAGCCCATGCACCACAACTACTGAACCCAGGCTTTAGAGTCTGCATGCCACAAGAGAAGCCACTGCAATGAGAAGCCTGTGCACCACAACTAGAGAGCAGACACTGCTCACTGCAACCAGAGAAAGCCTGCACGCAGAAATGAAGACCCAGTGCAGCCACAGATAATTTTTTTTTTTTAAAAGAATCGTACACCATAATCAAGTGGAATCCTAACCATTGTTGCAAGGATAACTTGACATCCAAAAGTCAATCAACATGATAAAGTACATTAACAACAAAGAATAAATATTATACTATCATCACAATAGATGAAGAAAAACTTTTGACTAAGTTCAAAATCCATTTATGAGAAAAACTCTAAACAAAGTAGATACAGAGGGAATATACCTCAACATAATAAATGTCCTATATGACAAACCCAAAGCTAACAACATACTCTATGAGAAAAAACTGAAAACATTTCCTCTAACATCAAGACCAAGACAAGGATGACCACCACTTTTATTCAGTATTTTCTAGCCACAGCAATCAGACAAGACAAAGCATAAAAGGAATCCAAATTGGAAAAGAAGAAAAAACTGTCACTGTTTCCACATGACATGATATTTAGAAAATCCTAAATATGCTATCAAAAAAACTATTAAAGTGAACTCAGTAATGTTGAAGGATACAAAATAAACATATAGAAATCTGATGTGTCTCATACACTAACAACAGACTATTAGAGAAATTAAGGCGATTCCCTTCACTGTTCATTTGAAACTACAACCACATTGTTAATTGTTAATTATACCCCAATGCAAAATAGAAAGTTAAAAAAAGAGAGAAATTAAGAAAACAATCCCAGTCACAATTGCATCAAAAAATAATAAAGTACTTAGGAATAAATCTCAAGGAGGTACAAGACCTGTACCTTGATACTCATAAGAAAATGATAAAAGAATTAAAAATAACATAATCAAGTGGAAAAATAGTTCATGTTCACGAATCAGAAGAATTAACACTGTTAAAATGACCATACTATTCAGAGAAATCTATCCATATAAAAATACTGCAGACATTTTTCATAGAACTAGAACAAATAATCCTAAAATTTCTATAGCAACACAAAAGATCACAAATAGCCAAAACAATCTTGAGAAAAAAGAACAGAACTGGTGGTTATCATGTACCCAGATTCCAAGATTTGGTAATATAGTTTGAAATCAGAGCACAAAAACAGACACACAATTCAATGAAACACAATAGAAAGCCCAAAAATAAATCCATATGTATGTGGTCAATGAATCTAAGACAATGAAGGCAAAAATGTACAATGGGAAAAAAGCATCCTTTTCAGTAAACATTGCTGGGAAAACTAAACAGTTACATGTAAAAGAATTATACTGGACTACATTTTCACACCACATACAAAAACAAACTCAAAGACTTAAATATAAGACCTGAAACTGTAAAACTCCTAGAAGGAAACGTAAGTGGTACACTCTTTAACACTGGTGTTAGCCATATTTTTGGCATATGTCTCCCCAGGCAAGAGAAACAAGAAAAAGTAAACAAATGGAACTACATCGAATTAAAAAGCTTTGCACAGCAATGGAAACTATCAATAGAATGAAAAGTCAGGCTACTATATAGAAGGAGAATTTCCACATATATCTGATAAGGGTCAATATTCAAATACAAAAATCTCCCACAACATAAAAAAAACCCCAAACCTGATTTTAAAATGGCAGAGAATCTGAATAGACATTTTTCTAAACAAGGCTTCTAGACAGCTGACAAAAGATGCTCAACATTACTAATCATCAGGGAAACGCAAATTAAAATCTCAATGATATATCCTTACACCCGTCAGAATGGCTATTACTGGCAAAAATGTAAAGAAAAGGGAACCCATGGTGCTTTGATGTGGGGAAAGTAAATTGGTGAAGTCACTATGAAAACCAGTACAAGAGTTTTTCAAAAAATTAACACTACTACTACCACATGATCCAGCAAGTCTACTTCAAGTATTTTTCCAAAGAAAACAAAAATACTCTCCACAAAATGCCCGTTTACTGTAGCATTAATTACAGTTGCCAAGTAATGAAAGTACTCAAGTACCCATCAACAGATGAATGGATAAAGATGTAGTGTATGTATGTGTGACATATACACACAAATACACACACACACACATATGTATATGTGCTTAGTGACTCAGTCATGTCCAACTCTTTGTGATCCCATGGATTGTAGCCTGCCAGGCTCCTCTGTCAATGGGGATTCTCCAAGCAAGAATACTGCAGTAGGCTGTCCAGGGGATCTTCCCAATCCAGGGACTGAACCCAGGTCTCCCACACTGCAGGCAGATTCTTTACCATCTGAGCCACGAGGGAAGCCCCATATATATATATATATGTGAGTGTAACCATACATACACACACACACACACACACACACACACACACACACACACACACACACACACACACACATATATATGACAGAAAATAACTCATCCATAAAGAAGAATGAAATCGTGCTACCTGTGACAAAATGGATGGACCTAGAGGGTATTATGCTAAATGAAATAACTCAGGTAAAGAAAAATACTGTATGATTTCACTTATACATGGAATTTGAAAAACAAAACAAATGAACAAACACAGCAAAACAAGCAAACTCATAGATACAGAGAACAAACTGGTCGTTACCAGAAGGGAGGAGGACAGAAGGATAATTAAAATAGGTAAGGAAAATTAACAAGTACAAACTTCTAGTTATAAAATCAGTAAAAGTCACAGAGACATAATGTACAGAATAGGGAATATAGTCATTAATATCATAATAACTGTCTGACAGACAGGTGTGATTATTTTGAAACACATTAAAATATCAAATTACTATGCTGTATGGTGGTGGTGGTAGTTTAGTAGCTAAGTTGTGACCGACTCTTGCAATCCCATGGACTGAAGCCCACCAGGCTCCTCTGTCCAAAGGATTCTCCAGGCAAGAGTACTGGAGTGGGTTGCCATTTCCTTCTCCAACTACACTGTATACCTGTAACTAATGTATCAATTATACTTCTAGAACTAACACCCAAAAAGGATGTCCTTTTCATTATAGGGGACTGGAATGCAAAAGTAGGAAGTCAAGAAACACCTGGAATAACAGGCAAATTTGGCCTTGGAGTACAGAATGAAGCAGGGCAAAGGCTAATAGAGTTCTGCCAAGAGAACGCACTGGTCATAGCAAACACCCTCTTCCAACAACACAAGAGAAGACTCTACACATGGACATCACCAGATGGTCAACACCAAAATCAGATTGATTATATTCTTTGTAGCCAAAGATGGAGAAGCTTTATATAGTCAGCAAAAACAAGACCGGGAGCTGACTGTGGCTCAGATCATGAACTCCTT